CGCTCTTTCAAGAAGTCGCTGTTCAACAGTCAATGTCAGAACTCCGCTCAGATCGCATATCCAGAAAGCGTAGACATACTCTTTCTCATTCCAAAAGGCAAAAGCGATATTTTCTAAGCCATGGGTATCCGAGACACCAGCAATTCCATCCTCGCCCCACCGATATGTTCTTGACCGGGAGTGATCGTGGGAGAAATCTAACCGTAACAGATACGTCGATCAACCCCGCGTGCTTCACATGTGGATAAGATGGACTTACAACTCCACGCGTCTCCATTTTCACTGATAATTCGTCAGTAATTGTAAAACAAAGTATTGCATTGGACGCAATAAACATAACGTCCAAGACTCTGAAGGAGGAGAAGCACTCACGAATAATCCTCTCGAACTGCAGACGGCCGCGGATGAGATTATCAGCGGACAAGTTCCGAATCACCAGTGATGCCACTCGCAGCGACTCATGAATAGAATGAGAACTCACCTGTGGCCCATTGTCTCTCTGCGACATAAGGACCCCATTTCTTCCAGTATCTGGTCCGTTCACGATCCTCCTTGAGACGCTGTTCCTCCTGGGTGAGGTACTCTTGCTTGTCAATCAAAACCATCGTTAGATAAACCGGAGATCGATACTCCGGAGAATCTAGGGAAAGAAGGGAAAAACGTAAGTAATTGAGATAGAAGAGCAGAAGAGAAAGAAGGTTGAAGAGCGAGTGTGCGGGCACGCCAGATAATAATAATAATAATACACTACTACCAACTAACCGACAGGGCAAGCTCTGTTCCTTGACCTTGGGTGTAGCTACATTGGATGCGGGAGGACTCTAGCTACTTTTTTCTGGGCTGCACGTACAGCTCAGCAAGACAGATTGACAATAACTGAGGGACGGACAGAACCTGATTTGTCCGATGACCGCAGCGGCTTATCAGAAATTGATAGCTAGAGTAGTCTGGACTCGTCGCTCGGTGCATCTTTCTGGATTGCTGGGGGTTTCCAAGGTTTGTTAGCTGTGAAGGTGGAGCATTCAGAGGGGTACAAGTAAGGGCCAGATCTGACATCATCGACGCTCAAGTAGATTCGGGAAATGTATCGCAGCTTTAGCTAGGTATAGTAGTGCATAATTGTTAATGATTAGAAGTAGATATGACTAAATATTCATCTCCGTCATAATGCATCTACTCGGAATGACTTCGCTGATAACGTAGAGATCAATGGGTATTGGAGGTCAGATGCCAGATGGGAACATCTAGGTACATCCTCTCAGGTTAGCAAGCATTTCTCACTGCATAACGACCAGTTCCTGGGCATCTTCGAATTGCAGCAAGCTAGCTACATGTATTCTAACAGGGATACCAGTATCAGAATCCCCTGCATCTAGAAACTTTGCTTGACTTAGAAATTGGAATAGCCTAACGTCCCGTCCACTGTATTGCATCCATTGGATGATTGGCATAACTACAGAATGCAGCCCTCTGGCTTGGGAAATTCCTAGGAGTGAATAATGTTCGACAAGCGCATTATATTATGCTAAACGATGCAGAGCTCTCCAGCAGCCTTCTATTCAGAAAACACCAGTTTGGCTGCAAGGAAAAGAACCGAGGAAGTGGCGTACCCGTGCCACTTTTCGTCGCTGCGAGTGGAAATGCTAGGTGGCAAGCGACTCATACGAGAAAGGATTGAGTCAGATGTACAGAGTTAGTTAACTAGTAAATGCCAGATTTGTGATAAGCAAGTGGATCTCATGTACATTATATGCTTGTGTTTGACATTATTATCTGCTGTTCGCTCTCGAGTCCAAGCAGAAGGCTAAAGTAGATTCCTTCATGTCAAGCCGAATAAGAATTGCTTTCAAACTACTGGGACAGTGGCAGACTGATCGGACGCCCATAGAGAAAGTACTCTATCTAAAAGCGCAACGGACCCTTCGCCTGCTCATGCAGGATTCCCCTAAAAATAGAGTCAAACCGAGACACTCACAATTCCTCCCCCACCATCTATTTAGTAAACAACATTTGAAAGTCGACGCCTGTTAAGGGTTGCAAAGAAAGATGTCTTCTCAGCATGACAAAAATTATGATTAAGTGGTAGTAAACGATAAAAACATTGTATGCCACAACAAAGTGAACACCAGTCTCCAGATGAGGAGGATTGCCGCACGGCATATACATGCACGGATTTGACCAAGTACGCCAGTGGCTGCGATGCTCTCCAGAAGCTCATGACAATCTGGACAAAAGGCGTTCCGACATTGCCCATGATCCGGGATACATGTCGCTGGAAGACGATAAGAATGGGGACAGAAGTCACCAGCAAACTTGATGCTCTCAACCATGTCCCTTGGAAGGTGGTGAAGAAAAGAGGAAATTCATTTCACTGAAGCCGCATTCGTTACCCATACAAACTGGACGAGACCAGTCTTGATTCCGCAAAGACCGATCACGAGTTGCGGTTTCGGTCTTGCTCTCGCTGTTCGTCACTGCTGGAGTACTGCCCTGCTGAATCTGTGGGAGATGTCGCGGTCGAAGTGGAGGACTCTATGTTTCGGACGAGACCTTGTAAGCCGCACTCATACACATACCGATAGAAGACCGTCAGTTTCAGTTTCCTTACCTGCTGTCCGATATTCGTTCTCCACCTTCGATGCGCCTGCGCTGTTTCCCGAGCCGTTTCCATCCACGATGAGTGATTGACGAGCTTTCAGACGTCGCTCGGTCTCGCGGATCTTGGCCTGCAGTTCCTCCAGCTCTCTCGTTTGTATAATCATTTGGAATCTCCTGAGGTACCAGGACCATTGGTCAACCCAACTACCTCTTCATACAAGTGAAACGCCTCTAGCGAGAACTTACTTCTGATCTATAGTCTGCGACAGGTGATCCACATCCGAATCCAGTGCGAAGACGCTATCCAGCGTTGAGGAAAAGGCCTGAGCCATGGTCCTGCCATGTCTTGGTCAACGCCAACGTTTTGATATCGGAGAGGGCGCAAACGGGAAGACGAACGACTGTGGGCGACCCTTTGGTTTCCATTCCTGCTCCATGTCCGACATCTTGCCCTAGTGTCAACAGTGTCGATTATCTGAGATCAAATGCGGTACGAAAGTACAATCTGGTCGAGAAAGATAAGGAGTATAGACGCCGTCAGATCGGTTGGTTGTCTTTGTCCCGTTAAGGAGGAGACGGGTGTTTGAGCGTGCGTCAGGAGGGGGAAGGGGGTGGATTAATGTGCTCGGTCTATCAGGCAAAAGGGTAAAATTAAAAGAAATAAGAAATAAGGCGAGATTAATATAGTAGCATGAGACCAGGACCGGCTGAGAATCTATGATAAAGCTTGATGGACGGACGGGACTGATTGCTGGATATGCTGCCACTCCTATAGACCACAAGGGGAGGAGCCGTTCTGCGAACCGAGCAGAAGAGCAGCAACGAGGAGGCTATCAGCGTGACGGTGCACGGTCGGAGAGTTGCAAGGCGCAACAAGCAGGTGTTCGGCTGTCGCAGCAGGAGTACCAAAGACCAAAGCAGAATCGATGAGAAAGGGAGGGAAATAGAAACAAACAAGAAGATGAAAAATAATAACCGATAGTACAGGTTGATCAGTAGTACTTAGTAAGTTGTTGCGCTACAGTACGTGGTTAGGTCGGTCGTCTACTGTCTCCTTTTCTTTCGTGTCTGCAGTAATTGGATATTTCTCCATACAAAAGGTCGTCGAATCTAAAATTACGGGGAGATTAAAAGCTCCATTTTGGTGTCCACCGTCCGCTACTGCAGGAACTGCCTTTGTTTATACTTCCTGACCTTCTCATGTTTGGAGATGCCACAGGTTCAACGAGACGAAAATCCTGTCGTGACTCTATCAGCCATTTACCCACTTGGGAAGCGCGCACTGCAATGCCACTATCAGCTTCCAACAGTTCGACAAGGAGCTTCGAGAAAGGGGGTTCTGAACTTGCTACCTGGGCTGAATCTATGAGTTGCCTAGTCGAGAGAAGCCCCTGACGATGTGGGGTACTGTCATTTTAAGGTAGGTACCTTTGTAATAGTCATGTAAAGTCGCAGCATTTCTATCATCCGCCATATGAAAGTCCCAGTGGCAGACGTCATACAATGATATCCTAGGTAAATTCTCCAGTAGTAGTTGAGGTATCTCAGTCCCTGCTCTTTTTCCTCGTCGGTAATAATGTACTCGTCGATGGTCAAAGCATCTCTGGGGTCTTTGAATGGGTGAGGAAAGACTGACAGTTTAAATTCTCAAATAGCATGCCAATGTGTGACTCTAATCGTTGATTCTCATTCTCCAGGATCAATATGGCTGATTAATGCCATTGCTGGACCTACAACACGCATGGTATGGACATAGATAATATAATGACATGCGATTTGCCGTCATGCTGCAAGATAAAAGTAGTGTCATCTCCAAGGTGCTTCGTCTGAAATGGACCCCTGGAATCAGGCGCAGGAGGTCGTACTGTAAAGTGATTACATTATTAAAGCATTGCATACCAGAGTCCCACATAATAGTTTTGGGCATGTCGATCAGTCGGATTAACTCACGTGATCTAGCCCCTCTGTTGGGCGGTCGGGGTCCTTTGTCAAATTTTCCCTCTCTGGAAGGAAGCAGCGAGACCACCAGAGAGCAGTCTTGTCATAGCAGTAGCTCATCCCTCTGCACCCAGCAACGTCTTCATCACCATTTTCTCAATCCATCAAGAATTTGTCCTTTTCATCAAATACAACCTTTCAAGTTAAATTTTTCTCTAATCCCAAAGCATTCTTTTCCCCCCTATTTTTACTGGCTCGCTTTTTGTCGGTTTTTGGAGACTGTCTCCCTTTCAAGATTTTCCTCCCTGCGTTTTTCTGCACTAATGGTCTAAACCGCTAGCCGCACCAATTGTGGTTGATTTGAGGATCCGGGTCCATCGGGTCAACCGCCGACATCGTCCATCACCGTGGCCCCCATCTCTAAATCTTTCTCCCCCAGTGGCCGACTAAACGGGCAATGGGGGATGCCTCCTCTGTCGGCTTACACTCCTTTTGAATCTCTCCTCTTCTTCCAGTCTCTCGCCACCTTGGGTACCCGTCCTATCAACTTCGCATCCATCTCCGATATTCTACGTAACAATACGTTCGTTCGCGAGAATGTCGCATTCAATGCGGACAGGCTCAGCCCGGAGGCCCTCGAGGAGTTGTACACGGCCTTGATGCGAGAAGAACTAGATGGCGCCGGAGCCATCTCACATCCCGAACAAAATGGTGTACATCCCGAGGGCGCTCAACCCACTAACCCGCTGAAACGTAAGATCGCGAGTCCACGTCCGGAGGTGTTAGTCGATAAGGGAAGAAGCCATGCCAGCTTTCTTCCCGAGTTAGTGTCTCATCTATATGCCAGATACAAGGAACTCGCGACTAGAGAGATTCGGAACGAGGAGAGGAGATATAAAGAAATCAGTGATGAAATTGAAAGGCTACAGAAGGAGGAGCGTCAGAAACCCTCACAGCCAGCACCTGCGCCGACGTCTGTACAGACATCTACATTACGAGGACCACAAGCAAAACAAGACTTTGCGCCGGAGCCCATGGACTTGGATGTCAAGGAGGAGATGCCCGCTCAGCAACTTCGGCAGGAACCCAGCCAAGCCGCAGTCCAGCCGCCGTTGGATTCCAAGGTCAAGCAAATAGAGCAGGAATCGCAGCGCAAGGATATTGTACCCTCTCCAGCGCAAGAAGAGCTAGCGCAACCGACCGCGCCGTCGACAGCGGCCGCAGCGATGCAACAACCCCAGGTGCTACCCACTCAACCGCCAGCTCAACCGCATCAAGAACAGCTCCGAATGAAGCAGCAACCGCAATCGCAACCGCAACCGGTTGATGGTCAGGCACCCTCGGCAGTTCAACAAGCACCAGCCAATGTGCCTCCGACAACGTCTTCGGCGCAAAAGGCGAAGAATGGGCCTGCTGTACATTCGCAGCAGCCCGCCGCTGCCCCAACTCCGAGCCCGGGCAGTTTGCCAACTTTTACCGCGGCGCCCTTGCAAGCTCAGCATGACGTTCACAAACCTACTCCCGTTCCTGCTCCATCACCGTCTCCAGCAGCCAGACCTGCAGGCAAGAAGGGTGCTTCAGCTGCTACATCTGTCTCAGCACCTCAACCTCCCACACCCCAGCCAATAATTCAGCAGTGGTCCTTACGTCAGCCACCACAGACCCCGCAGCCACCGCCCTTTAACTACCCGCAACAACAGGCAGATAAGCGTGCTATGGTGGGAAGACCATCCGCCAACCCTCTCCAACATACACCGAAACCCGAGCCTGAGAAGCCATTTCAAGCTACTCCCCGGACGCCTGTACCTTCTACGCCAGGGCCTGCTTCGGCACCGATCGTATCAACGGCTGTCAACGGCCATGCTCGGGGTTACCAGACGCCTGTCGGAGCAGCGCAAGGATTCATTTCGGAAGCGCAAAATGTCCATCGCCCTCAGCTCTCCGTCGATACGAGATCTTCTACACCTTGGAAGAAGACACCTCGCCTTAGCATTCCTCCGTCGCCTAGATCACCGATTCGGCCTCGGCCAGAGGATGTCAGCCCCATTAGCGAAAGCGCCCCGTCGCCAATTGAGTTTTCTGAGCCACTTCAAGAAGAAACAGGAGGCCGACGAAACAAACGCCGAGCTGTTGAAGAAAAGGGGGCGCGAGCAATCCAGGAACCCAGCCTGCCGCAAGATGTGGAACCTAAAGGGCGGCTGAAACCCAAGGTAGAAAAAGCCACAGGGTCCGCTGCTGGGAAGAAACGGGATCGAAGCACGACCTCCTCAAGAAGCCGGGGAAGGTCCGTAGTATCTCGCGATGAGGAATCCGTCGCCGAGGCCGGAAACGGGCCTATTGGAAAGATCAAGCATGAGTTGCCAGGTACACCGGCTAATATCCCAGAGCCATCTGAATTGGAGGGTCGTGCCAGTGGCGCCCGAAAAGGCGCTGCCGCTTTGCCTCAGACCGAAGAACGTCCAGGAAGGGAAAGGCCGAAACGCAAGCGCGGGATCAGTGACGCTCCAGAGCCAGAGCCAGTTCCAACTGAGCCTATCCGGCCGGAATCGACACAGTCCACATCGTTCGTGTTGTGTCCGCGTAACTTTCCCAGAACGGGGGCACCTATCATGAATGATGTGACCATGCATAAGCATGCCTCAATATTTGCGAAGCCGCTGGCTGAACGAGATGCACCTGGGTATAGAGATCTCATATATCGACCGCAAGATTTGAAATCCATCAAGTCGTCTATCCATCAAGGCAGTAGAGCTGTGGCTGCAGCAACGGAAGCTGCCAGCACGCCAGCTGCAGATGGAGAGTCCCCGGCTCCCAATGCAGGCACGACGTCCAAGAACGCTGTTCTAGTGCTGCCAAAGACTGAAGACGTGATTCCTCCCAAGGCCATAGTCAACTCGGCACAGCTGGAGAAAGAATTAATTCGCATGTTCGCTAACGCCGTCATGTTCAATCCCATTCCGCAACGTGGGTTCGGACCTGCCTTCCCGATGATCAGCGATAGTGGGTCACGAGAGAGCACGCAAGTCCCCGAACCGGATGAAGGAGGCATCATCAAAGACACTCTGGAGATGTTCGAAGACGTCGAGCAAGCGGTGACGAGATGGCGGGCGGCAGAACGCACTGCTGACGAACTAGCGAGCAAGAGCATCTTATCCCTTCGAAGAGGTAGCACGAGCGATTTGAACACGGATAGCGCAGATGAGGTCAAGGGGCCATGACATGCCATTGGAACGGATTGAAAGTTATTGGATGAAATGTATGATTAGCGGGAAGGGACCTGCCTTCAAATTCCAGAAAGGCCATCTTGTATGTGTAGAATATTTGTGCCAGAGCGCTGTTACAAGCCAGCGACAGGCATCATGAAATGAATCTAAAGGAAATACGAACGATTTCACCAAGCATTATTGGTAAGACGTTCTCGGCATTCGGCACAAGAATTCAGTCTTATTTCTTGTTTCTCATGACCATCATCTTTTTGGATATCGTAACCTCTTTTTCTCTCATGCCTTTCGATCATGGACGGAAACTGACTATCAAGCAGCCCCCTGTAAAGCTTGCTGAGGCTTTGTTCTCCCTAGTCCCTCTTTAGCATAGAAGTCCATCGGATATACACCGCTGTTCGCGCTATCCCAGTGCTCCCTCACACCCAACGCAATCAACGCCTCATAGGGCGTCAGAAGCGGTCGCGGGAATGCATAGCCCCAATCAATACTCAACCTGGGGCAAGCGATCTGCACCCAGCATTCGACATCCGACATGGACGCCAACTTTCCGGGAAAGATCTCGCTTAGAAGCAAGTTGACGAACGGGATACCGCGCTCGTTGAGGTGGTTCTCGATCATGGTCATGGTGTTCGGGTTCCCTTGCCGGCCGAGCGAGCCTAGGATGATGCCCCATTTCTTGGCCGATTTGGCGGTGTTGATGGCGTCTCGGCGGAGGGTGTGCATGTCGTCGTGGGAGTAGGTCTCGCGGGAGAGAGTGCGGGAGTACGGGTCGTAGCGGTATGCGGGGATGGTAGGGTTGTGGATCATGGCGGATTCGAGGTGGAAGCGGCCATCGCCGAGGTAGAGGAGGATATCGATCTCGGTGGGGGAGAGTTGCGGCGAGGTACAGCCTAGGATCTCGCCTTTGGACAGCGGTGCGATTTGCGGGATGACGACTTTGAATCCGGCGCGTTCAAGCACGGGTTTGAGGCCGTGAAGCGTTGCGTTGAATTGGATCGTGCCGACGGTTGCGATGGTCTTTCCTGGCTGAAAGTTGCGTTCTAACGTAGCAATCAGGTGAGACGTGTCGATGCTGATGTCGACGAAGATGTACAGCGTTTTGATTTGGGTCACGTCAACGGGGATGAGGCAGCTGTGCGCATAGTGGACCAACAGGTCGCATCCTAGAGCACGAGCGGTATAGTCGTCGATACAGCAGGCGCCGTAGGTGACATCGCCCATTATCAAAGTCTCCGTCCCCGGGCAAAACTGGGTTAGGATATCGGATATCGTGGTAGCGAATATGAGTAGACCCTCTGGAAACTGTAGAGCAACACGTTTGGCGCCCGAAGTCCGTATCCGATGGATCGTCTTGGGAACCTCGAACGAGTAATTCTTGGGCAGAAGTTCAATCGCGGCCTGGATTTCAGGATCTTCCAGGATCTCGGGCGGGACTTGATTCAGTGTTCTTGGGTTTCTTCGTGGCGCGACTGTCAGAAAGCATCATCAGCCTATGTTCGCAAGTGCGAATCAGTACAGAAACAGAAGACCGGACACGCACCTCGTTGAATGCTTGTAGACTCGACATCTTTCGAATTTGTAGAGGCATCTTTCTGTGCTTGCGCATCTGCTGTACGTCTTCCGACAAATCTCTTCTTTGGTTGCCGAAGATTGCTAGACGATGCAGTCTCTTCCATCTTCGTTTCTGGGGCAGCAGAAGACAGCAATGGCTCTGTCATGATGGACCGTCAATTCTGCTCGTTTCAAAGTGGGATGGTCTGATTTTCTTTTCCTATCCTGACTAAGATGGACCACAAATATTGATGGTGGCGGATGGATCAGGTGGGGTCGCCGAGTGTAACCAAGCGGCTTTTCTCCGCATTCTCGGCTCGATAAAGCGTCTGGAGGCAATGGCAAGCTGCTCATTCCTCTCTTAAGCCTGCTCGTGCATTCCCGATCAGCTCTTCGACTGACGTTGTCTTTTGGCCATACTGCATTCCCTTGGATCATGGCTTTCCGACCGAGGTTGAATCTCTTCTCTGCCCTTCGAACTGCTCCACCTGCTCGACGCTTTGCGACAGAGGCGCGGCTAACCTCGGACCATGTTCGCATTGTCGAAGTAGGTCCACGAGATGGTCTACAGAACGAAAAGAAATCTATACCGCTTGAGACGAAGCTGCAGCTCATCGAGAAGTTGGCGAAGACGGGAGTAACGACCATCGAGGCAGGATCTTTCGTACCTGCGAAATGGGTTCCACAGGTATACATCTCATGATTATCCGCAGATCTGTTTGAAGTAGCGCATGAAGTTTTCTGACTGACAGGTTTGGGTCCCATCAGATGGCTAGCACTGCAGAAATCTGCGAGCATCTGCTCCAGTCACCACCCCAGTCGCAGCATGCTATTGCTTATAATTATCTGGTACCGAACGTCAAGGGCCTTGAGTCTCTCATCAAGGTTATGGATGCGACGGGTTCTACAGCAGAGACACCAGGCTCAGCCACCAAGCCTCCAACCACTACTGAAATTTCACTCTTCGCTGCAGCAACGGAAGCATTTTCCAAAGCCAACACCAATTGTACCATTGCAGAGTCGCTCGAGCGGATCCGCCCCATCGTAGCGTTGGCCAAGACGAAAAATATCAGGGTTAGAGGATATGTTTCTGTGGCTTTGGGCTGCCCATATGAAGGTCCAGATGTTCCCCCTTCCAGAGTCGCGGACATTACGGCTACACTTCTTGAAATGGGCGCTGATGAAGTGTCGGTTGCCGACACCACCGGTATGGGAACGGCTCCGCGGACACTTGAGCTTCTGCAAGCACTCAAGGCTGCCGGTATCGCAAACACAGATCTGGCACTTCATTTTCACGATACGTACGGCCAAGCCCTCGTCAACACCATAGTGGGCCTGGAGCACGGCATTCGGATATTCGACAGCAGTGTCGGGGGTCTCGGTGGCTGCCCTTATTCTAAGGGTGCTACTGGCAATGTATCAACCGAAGACTTGATCCACACGCTGCATGGACTTGGCATGCATACTGGTATCAACTTGGAAGAAATGTCCAAGATTGGCTCGTGGATCAGCAGCGAGCTGGGCCGGTTCAATGAGAGCAGGGCGGGAAAGGCAATTCTTGCGAGAATTCAGGAACAGTGAATATAAGTCTGCTCAATAACCATTTATATTGATTTCATGTCAATAGCCATCGCTTCCATGTTCAAGCTATGTCTTATGCATTGTGTACTTGCTCTTCGTGACTGGTTTTATATTTCAAATAGCGTCAAGAAGTCTTTTAATGAGTAATTCATCATGTCATACAATTAATATAGTCCCCTTGATCATACATTCTTTCCACGCTCATCTATAGTACAAATGGAAAGGGTGATCAGTATCTCTCTTCACTGATCAAGTCCATCAAGAAGCCAGTATGCAAGACGCCAAATGATGCAATATACAAAGCTTCACCAGAATAGCAATGTCACAATGGTAACATGTAGAACGTAGGATCATCCCAGTTCACAATCAGAAATCTGTGACACGACCACCGTAGCTCCAGTCGCCCTCCGCCCCCCATCGCAGTGGCTCGTTCTTGGGTCCCCCCACTTCTCCAGTCTTGGGATTTCTCTCACCCTCAAATTCAGGCTTGAGACCTCCCCGCAGATCCGGATGAAGTTCCTCTCCTTTGCCCGTGGCCTTAAACTCAGGCTTTTCTTCAGCGGCAGGTTGGGAATGTGGTGACTGGTTGACTTTGGGAGGGGCGCGAGGCGTACTAAATGCGCCGGTCGATCGTCTTTGAAGTTCTTCAAAGAGCTCTTGCTCTTCCTTCGGTAGCCTTGGAGGAGCTGGGCCGCGGCCGAAGGCGAAAGCCGGCTTGTCGTTCCGAAGAACGGAGTAACATGAGAAGGACCGGGAGGAGAATATTCGGAGACTAGAGCTGGAGCGTACGAATACCCGGCGAGGTACGAAGAAAAGAGCCATGATGTTTTTTGTTGGAGAGATGCAAAAGATGTGTCAGACGAGACGTCAAGGATATGTGGAACAAGTGGAAATGCGGAGTGGCGGAGATGGCATCGAGTCATTTTACAGCGTAAGCTTTGCCCGATAAGCGGCCCTCCCGATATCGCGGCACTTTTCTGGGTCCATCACAGTCACAGTCACAGTCGTCAATCTTTATGACTCTTGACTCTCCTTCTTTGATTCCTATCTATTTAGTCCTTTCCTGAGTCAATTGCTTCAGTCGTCTTTTATTTTCAATCTTCTAGTGTCACTGCTACTCGCAATGACTTTCATGCGTGTGGCTTCGCGGCGGCTACCGCTCACAAAGCGACTGGTTCCTGGATTTCAGTCATCGGTCCAGCGACGATTCGCTTCTGCAGCGGCAGGAACACAAACATCCAATGCTCCTCAAGATGTGAAGGCTCAGGTGACTGTAGGTCATATCAAATTGGATTCATTGTCCGTTCTAATAATGGCGATCTTCATAGAAAGAGGCAATTTTGCCTAACCCAGACCCTGCGGCGGAATCTGCGACAGCGGCTTTCATCAGGGAGCGCACCCCGTATATGGTGCCTACATACGTGCGGCCAACTCCCGTAATGATTAAGGGACAAGGGTGTTATGTCTGGGATATGGAGAACAGGCGGTATCTCGATCTTACCGCTGGAATTGCCGTCAACTCTCTCGGCCATTGTGACCCGGAAATCGCAAAGATTATCGCGGAACAGGTGCGTATACTCAGGTTGATTGACCACCAAGGGTTTGTAGCTGACGTATCCTGCTCCGTAGGCCGAGACACTTATCCACGCTTCAAACCTCTACCATAATGCCTGGACTGGTGCTCTTAGCAAACTGTTGATTGCATTGACACACCAATCCGGCGCAATGCGCGACGCTTCCCAAGTCTTCATTTCTAACTCCGGAACCGAGGCGAACGAGGCTGCCATAAAGTTCGCTCGTAAGGTTGGCCGGTCTCTTGAGCCTTCCGGAGCCAAACACGAATTCGTCTCCTTCCACAACTCTTTCCACGGCCGCACAATGGGAGCCCTATCCGCTACACCCAATCCCAAGTATCAGACTCCTTTCTCACCTATGGTGCCCGGCTTCAAGTACGGCAACTACAATGACATCGAGCAACTTCAGGAGCTCATCACGGACAAGACTTGTGGTGTGATCGTGGAGCCTATCCAAGGAGAAGGCGGTGTCAATACGGCGACTCCTGAGTTCCTCGCGGCTCTTCGCAAGCGGTGTGACGAGGTCGGAGCTGTCCTGATCTTTGATGAAATCCAATGTGGTCTATCTCGAACCGGCTCATTCTGGGCTCATGCTCACCCCTCCCTGAAGCCTGCATCGGGCGAAGCCGCCCACCCTGATATCCTCACCACGGCCAAAGCTCTCGGTAATGGTATTCCCATTGGCGCTACCATAGTATCCGGCAAGACTGTTGCGGAGCACATTAAAACAGGTGATCATGGTACTACTTTTGGAGGCAACCCGCTCGCGTGCCGAGTCGCTCATCACATCGTCGAGCGCCTCGCCTCACCGGAGTTGCAAAAGTCTGTGGAAGCCAAGTCCTCTTTGTTTGTGTCTGGATTCCAGAGCCTTCAGAAGAAGTATCCTGATGTTATCTCTGAGATTCGCGGACGTGGTTTGATCCTGGGCGTTCAGCTGTCCAAGGTGCACACAGCCAAAGCGTCGGACCTGATCACCGCAGCCCGTGAGCGAGGACTGCTAATCATTACTGCTGGTGAAGGATGTCTTCGCTTCGTCCCTCCTCTGACTATTACCGAGGAGCAGATCCAAACGTCTCTGAAGACCTTGGAGCAGACATTCGATGCTGTTTTCAGAAACGCATAGGTAATTGCTGAGTAGTTGAAGTTGATTTTACTTTCGATTTACCACTATTCTGCCCATAGACCGAATGTTTTCTTGTTCCATTGCAGCCAGGCATGATGGTTTCACTTATTTATTTATTTATTTTTTTCAGATAGATATACAAAAGCAAGCATAATGTTCGCGAGCATTAGCTAAAGCACTCGATCCAGTGCTGAGAAGAATTATTTGTTATGACTATGACTACTCTAGTGATGCCTGGTGCTTCTCAGGCAGTAAGGCACCAAGGGTATGGTCACGAGACCAGTTGCCATTCTTATCATGACCGCATCGACTTTACGTCCTTCACCAGTTGTCAACGACGAGCGATTGGCGATTTCCTGATTGATGCGATCAGAAAGCTGTGCCGCCTTGCTTTTTTGTACATCCAGAGTGATGGATGTATATGGAGTCTCATAGAATTATCTATCGACTTGTAACGTACTAACCTACCTCCCTCGTTTTGCTTTGTTATGCCTGCTGCTTCCGATACAGAGGAAGAACAACCTATGCTGCCTCTTCCTGGTGCTCCATCCTCATCATGGGCTCAATTCTGCCAGCGATTCCGTGCCTTGTTCAGCGGCGCGGATCCTCGCGTCTGCGTCGCCTTTTGGCTCTTTGGTGAGTCAATGCAAGCCGAGGCCGTCCCATAGATTAAAGCTTACCTTGATGCTAACAATTCTGCGCTTTGCCTGATCATTATAGGCCTAATTAACAATGTCCTGTATGTTGTTATCCTGTCTGCCGCCCTCGATCTGGTCGGGCCCAGTGTCCCCAAGGGAGTCGTCCTTCTAGCGGACGTGATACCCTCGTTCGCAACGAAACTCATCGCCCCGTACTTCATCCATATGGTGCCCTACCCGGTGCGAATCATCATATTCGTCTTCCTCTCTGCCACTGGCATGCTCCTAGTTGCGCTGAGCCCTCCGTATACCGATGGCGGGACGATAGCCACTAAACTTGCTGGTATTGTGCTGGCTAGCTTGTCCAGCGGAGGTGGAGAGCTGAGCTTCGTTGGATTGACACATTTCTATGGCCCTTTCAGTCTGGCTGCCTGGGGAAGTGGAACAGGAGCGGCTGGTCTGGTTGGAGCTGGTGCGTACGCCCTGGCCACTACCTCGTTGGGTCTCAGTGTGAAGGCCACTCTGTTGGCATCTTCATGTCTACCAGCGGTCATGGTAGTCAGCTTTTTCATGGTCCTGCCAAGATCTCCTCTGCAGCCTATTTCGGCCGCATACGCTGGGTACCGTGCGGTCGAGGAAAGAGAGGAGCTCGCGGAGGAACGCGAATTCATGGAGGGCGACCGTGACGCGACTTTCGACGAGGGGGAACGACTTTTGGGAGCTTCGAATCTTTTCAATCAGAGCAAAAAAGCCGGTTGGCAGCGTTTCAAGGCGGACTTGAAACGTGTTCGGGGCCTTTTCTTCCCATTGTAAGTAGAAGAGTTGAACGGCGACGATTGGTGCCACACTGACATTCAAACGCTAGTATGCTTCCACTACTTCTGGTCTACGTCGCGGAGTATACGATAAACCAAGGAGTGTCTCCGACACTGCTCTTTCCGCTTGACGAATCGCCTTTTGCGCATTTCCGTGCGTTTTATCCAGCATACAATGCGATCTACCAGGTGGGGGTCTTTATCTCTCGATCCTCCACACCTTTTTTCCGTATCCATGACCTCTACCTCCCGTCTTTCCTGCAGATTCTGAACTTGGTACTACTGACCCTTCAAGCCGTTTTCAACTTCATTCCCAGTGTGTATATCATTTTTATTATCATCTTCTGGGAGGGATTATTGGGCGGTTTGGTCTATGTCAACACATTCGCTGAGATCGGAGATCGTGTGCCAAAGGAAGAGCGCGAATTCTCCCTAGGAGCGACAACAGTCAGCGATGCAGCAGGTATCTGCATTGCTGGCTTCGTCAGTATGGTTTTCGAAGTCTGGCTTTGTGACTGGCAAGTCACACATGGGCGGGACTACTGCCGGAGAATATAGATGCATCATGCAAGAATGATGACGAATGGCTCGGAATATAATAGACACTATATTATTTGCCCAGGATGCCCTGCAACTTGCCTATCTGACTTAGACCGCATCAACCGATAGCGTCACGGGTTGTGGAGGGTTTGACATGTGATAGCCATCCACAGCCCACAACCCACGAGCAACTCTCAGACAACCATGGGTTCTCTCTTTAATCAACCACATTGAAAAAGGCCTTGACCCATTGACCCATTTACGAGCACCTAACAGCTTCGTATGATTTGGTAGTCCCTGTTGTTCCAACATCTCCGGATAATCCTTGTGGAGACTTTCACATGCTCCGCCCCAGTCACGGTCTCGTCCACCATTCATCATCACCCTAAGCAGCCTGCCTACTGACCATTATTGCGCCAGCCCATCCACTATCCTCCAAATGGATTCCCAGGAACAAACATCGTCAGTGCCAGACTTGCTGGACGCCGGAGATTCTTTCAATTCCTGCTGTTTGCAATAATTGTTTGTCGCGTCACTGCCCCACTCTCCTCGTGTGGCATTTGGAGATCCCAGTTTCTGCAATACCCCGTTTACCAACATGATCCTGGGGTCCCCACACTTCTTTGCGTACCTAATTTTTAGGATGGCAGGTCCAGATAGACGCTTTGTTTCTTTATTTATCTTATAGGACAATCAGGAAGCTGTACTTCGCTTTCATCACCCCTCTGCCTCTCCCTTCCTCTTTTTCTCGCCAACTGACTCTATGAACCTGAAGTGTGACATTTGTTCTTGCATCCGCAATAACGTCGATCTGAGTCAAGGGGATAATCGAGCTGTGGCTTTTCAGGAAGCCTGACAGAGATGATAGGTATGAACGCTCCGAGAGCTCTGTCAAAGCAGACAACTGACAGGCAATAGATCACGTTCTAGGGAGACCCTCCACCAAATTCCGAAAGATCCAAGTTTTTGGAGTAGTCCTATTCTGGTCTACCTATCTGTTCAAGTAAGTCGTACACTGCTGGAATTGAGAGGACGAAGATCTGCTAATCATACCACATAGGGGAAGCAAGCATGGCCCTCCGATCGCCCGCAATATCTCGTCCCGCCTGTCGGGCAAATTGACCGTCTGGCAAACCACCGTAGCTGTGTTTCTATGGCTCTATATCTGCCGCAATTTCGCCAAGATTGTTGGTCTCGAAAGCCCCGAACCCCTGGCGAATCTGTACTCTCGGTCGTTTTTCCGCGCAACATGGGTCACCACGGCACTCGACGCCGGTTTTTGGACTGCAATGAGGATCAAACCCAAGTGGCTACGGGATATCGCGTCGTTAATATTCACAGTCTACTATCTTTTCGCGGCAGAGCAAGCAGATGATATGGTGCGCCGTGTCCGCGCAACCCTGACCGTGGAACATCTGCGAGTGTCGTGGAACAAGGGAACCACTCCATATCTCTGGGCACTTCAGAAGTTGGTCCGGCCCCGGTTGACGAGTTATGGACCTCGAGCCATCCGCATCCCTCGCCCTAAACAATCTATTTACACCGAGCCGACGAATGCATGGCTATATTTTGACGGACCGCTAAGCGCGCTGAAAGATCAGACATGTGTGATTCTGGATATTCCGGGCGGTGGTTATGTTGCCATGAACCCGCGCAACTCGGAAGATCGACTCCTCACCTGGGCAGGGAAGACCAAACTGCCGATCTTGAGTCTAGACTACAAGAAGGCACCCGAGTATCCTTACCCGTACGCTTTGAACGAATGCTATGATGTCTACCACATGATCATCACCACGCGCGGCCGTTGCCTGGGACTGAGTGGAGTCACGCGGCCACGTATTGTGGTTACTGGTGATAGTGCTGGCGGAAACTTAGCTGTCGGGACGGTCCTGATGGTTCTGCAGTCAGGGACTGAGGATGTGATGCCACGCCCAGATGGTCTGGTACTGGCGTATCCCTCCTTGAACATGCGAGTTGAGAGCTGGATGACGGAGGAGCAGATGTCGTTGATCCAGGATAAGAGCGCTCGCCGGACGAATAGGAACATTTTGCAGAGAAAGAATATGGATTATCAGAGGCTGACGCCATTTGCATCGCCTGGACCATCTACGGAAGAACTGAGGCAGGAGTTCTTGTCTGACGCGGGCTTGGATGCGGATGACCTGGGGGAGAAGACTTCGAAGAGACTTGCCGAGAAATTGAACCAAGATAGTCTCGCAGCTCAGACAGCTGCACTTGTTGAACATCAGCCAAAACAGATCCGGACTCGTTTAGCCGTGTCCTCCATGATCTCATACGTTCATGATCGCATATTGACCCCAGAGATGATGCGAGCCATGATCATCCTCTACATTGGACCTCATAACCGGCCCGATTTTAGCACGGACTTTCTCTTATCGCCTGTCTTAGCTCCCGAGAGCCTTCTTACTAGGTTTCCCAAGACCTACTTCATCACAGGGGAACGAGATCCACTGGTGGACGACACGGTCATCTTCGCTGGCAGACTACGCCAGGCCAAATTACACCAATTTCGGGAAAGACAGGAACTCGGGCTTGAAAAATCCCATCGGGAATTCGATGAAAAGGACCACGTGGAGGTCTCCTTATTACCAGGAGTGTCACATGGATTCCTTCAGATGGCCGGATTTTTCCCTGACAGCTGGAAACACATCAACCGATGCGCTACGTGGATCCAGAATCTGTTCGATACGGATGAAGTCAAGGAATCGTCTTCTAGCCTTTTACAGTCGCTCTACGATAATCCTGTTGATAACAAGAATCTGACCATAGAAACAAACGGGAAAGCGGGTCCCCGGAACCACAAGCGGAGCTTGACAGGTGAGTCCTCTGCAGACGAGGACAGGCCTCTGGAGATGAGCATGGGCAGAATGACCCCTTTGACACCTGCGCACGGCAATCTCGACTCAAGCGAGACTCGGCAATCCAAGGAGGACATGCCGTCACAGAAGCCCTATCGTCCCCGTCGGGAGGCTACTGGCACCCCTGATTGCAGACCTGACTCGAAGCATGGAATCCGAAAAAGAAGTTCATCCAGGGGCCGAAAGGACTCATCCAGCGGGCTCGGTAGAAGACGGCGTCTCGCCCCGACCAAGCTCACTCTGCCTGTTTCCGACGACACCATGTCCGATAACCTGGAAAGCCCAGTACGTCTTCGCAAACGAGAAAGAAGTCTCCACAGCCTTCCCAGTCACGAGGATCTCTTGGATCGCAGAATGAACGGCTTAGCGGGCGGGCTGATGGGAATCGGGGAGGGAGCGCAGACGCCTTGAGATAACGAGAACGATATTATTGGCGACACGAACACGATACATACTTATGCCTTATGTATAGAGCGAGATGAATTTTTCATTATTGCGTAAATACCCAGACCTAGAACAGAAATAGAAAGAAATTCGATTTCGTGAAGCATGTGAAGCTGAAGATCTGATATGGCATGTGATTGCGGCGAAGTTCTTCATGTGAATGTGGATCTGATTTCAGCCTAATTATACAATAGTACCAACATACAATAATAGTAGCAACAATACCCGATTTCATACAGCCAAGCATCCATCCATCGGAATCATCTGATGCTCAGCGAAGATTGCTACTGCATTTAGCTGGCTCTTATGCATGCTGTCCATACATCCGTCAGCCCGTCAGACCATTTGCCGTTCCAATCGGGCCGACCGTTAAACGCAGAATGGAGCCATCAGCTTACTTCTAGTCTCTAGACTACAGCTCTGCAATGTTCCAGCCTTCCAGCCTTAGTGATGACTATCCACTCCTTATTGCGTGGATAAGGTAGGGCTGATATGACAATGAATCCATCTCAAGCGATCCGCAGTCCCATCAACACAGAAACAAGCCTGAGCCCTACATGTGATCGGACAACGTGCTAGAAAATTCCTGGCTTCTGCTATAGCAAGCCGCGTTTGCTGCTATGTTCTTCACCTCTCCATCGACAAACCAACATGAAGTTCCTCAACCGCAAGGGTAGCCTCAGCCCTAGCAATCGACTAATGAAATAAAGAATCAACCAAACCCTGCCACGTTGCCGGCCTTTTCCGGCATTTGCTCGTCACAGTATCTTTAATACGATTAATAAAACGGAAGGGGGTATCCCCTGGTGATATGTAGGTAAACGTGGAAGTGTGCGTTCCCGTCGGAACAGTTGGCATAATCTCCCCGAATAGATAACTATGCCTCGGCAAACCGAGCGGACGGAATCAACTGCACCATCACTTCTGGTAGCGATGAGTCAAAAATGAAAAACCAACAGGCCAGAAACCGTATGCAATGACGAAATAGGCCACAGACTATCCAGTTATCTACTCGGGATATGTAGACGCCCGAATGGGCCCTCCTTATGCCTGGTGGAGATCTTTTCTCTGTGCAGATCTTGGCAGGATGGTATCATGCTATATTGGTTTTTTGTGCTGGGTTTTTTATGAAGAATAGGGCTGGATATGGCATGCTAGAGGATTCTGTGATGAGTGGGTAGGGGGTTTAAGAAGGTCGCCTGGGCGCTGAGCTGCTTCCTTTTGTCCTGTGTTCTCGTTTCTAGAGTTCGTCATCGAAATACATCCTATCTAGTATTGACATAGGTTGAAGTCTTACAATCTGTATCCTGACACATTGTTGAATATCTGCCAAACGAGATGACAGTCGAAAAGCATGTCGACTTCGATGGCCCGGATGATCCTCTTAATCCCCTCAACTGGCCCATGAGGAAAAGGTACGTCCAGTCCGTGTTTGATCTCTGGATATTGGATGACTGACGCATGGATGGGACATCAGGGTCTATATTTCGGGCATACTGGGTCTCAGCACAATGGTCGTTGCATTCGCAAGCAGTATCTTCTCCGCCGCCATGCCCTCAGTGATGCAGATATATGGTATCAGCCGGGAGGTATGCACCCTCGGTATATCCCTCTACGTCTTCGGATTCGCATTCGGCCCGTTGTTCTTCGGCCCCTTCTCGGAGGTCAAGGGCAGATACATGCCTCTTGTAATCTCGATGTTCGGCTTCACGATATTCTCGTTTGCAACTGCCGTCTCCAAAGACCTCCATTCCCTGTTCATCCTTCGATACTTTACTGGGTTCTTTGGCTCTGGTCCGCTCACACTCGCCGGAGCATCATTTACAGACATGTTCTCGCCGGAGCAGCGGGGGATTCCCATCGTCATGTTCTGCTTGATGGTGTTCATTGGTCCTCTCGCTGCTCCATTTGTGGGAGGCTTCACGGTAATGAACTCCTCGCTGGGCTGGCGCTGGACGGCATATATTCCTGGTATTCTAGGCGGCGCCGTGCTCCTGCTTCTAGTCGTGTTCCTGGAGGAGACCTACCAGCCCGTCATCCTGGCTCGGAAAGCCGATCGATTGCGCCGCGAAACTGGTAACTGGTCACTTCACGCCAAACACGACGAGCTGCGTCTTGATCCTAGATCCATACTGACCGAGTATCTCGCCCTGCCACTGAAGATGCTCGTTTTCGACCCTATCGTCACGTGCATGTGCGTCTTCGCGTCTTTCGTTTACGGCCTGCTTTATCTCTTCCTGACCGCATACCCCATTATCTTCCAGAAGATTCATAGTATGAACCCAGGTGTGGGTGGGCTGCCCTATCTGGGGGTTATTGTCGGGCAGCTCCTAGGCGCCGTTGGCATCGCAGCGACCCAACCCTGGATTCTGCGCAAGCTGAAGCAAACCGGTGGCGTGATGATGCCAGAGTGGCGTCTTCCTGTGGCTATCCCGGGTGCAGTCGCATTCTCTGCAGGGCTTTTCTGGCTGGGATGGTCGGGATACAAGCAGAGCATCCACTGGATTGTGCCTACTCTGTCGGGGCTGCTGACGGGATTTGGATTGTTGACCATGTTCCTTCCCTCTCTTGCTTATCTGGTAGAGGCCCGTCCTCAGAAGTGAGTACTCCCAATATTGTCAACTATGACGATGCATGGACTGACTGGGTATCATCAGAGCGGCATCAGCCGTTGCTGCACACACGTTCCTGCGGTCGGTCGCGGGAGGCGTCTTCCCACTATTTGCAACATATATGGTCAGTCACCAAATCTCGAGCTTTCCGATTGTGAAACTGACTGAATTTGATACAGTTTGATGGATTAGGTGTGGAATGGGCTTGCACATTGCTTGGATGTGTGGGAGCATTGATGATCCCAATTCCGCTGCTGCTATATATTTACGGAGCACGAATCCGCAGCAAGAGCAGAATGGCTGCTTGATATGAAAAGGACCAGGTGACGATTCCACCAGCAGAATAATTGTAATGATAATAGAACCATACACACGACCCATACTTACATAGATAGAAAGCTAACCTTATGACCTCACTGCTGAATTGACTTTGTTGACTTCAATTATTATCTCGGAATCCCGCAAGCATGTCTGGATTTCTGTTGATCCAGCGGTCAGTCGATAATAACAATGCGGGTCATCTGCTATCTCGTCATCGGATCGACAATCTAACGTCGACGCCCATTGAAATTGGCCGTCTTTTTAGACCGTGAGCCATCCAGACCAGCAATTGCGTGCTCTCTGCAATTCCTCATCCTCATATTTAGTTCAACATACGCCGATGTCACACAAGACCATGGATCGCTTTTCGATATCTGTGTTACTTCTGACTCTCGAGGGCAATTTGGCTGTCTTTCCTGCATCTAATACCGATCTATTTCCCTCACCGCTATATTTCTCTAACGAGCGGGACGTCGATCATTGCGGACAATCGCGGTCAATGCATTACCGCTGATCGAGATTAAGGAGACGGTAAATGGCACCTTCGGTTAGAGGTCATGCGCCCTATGGGCTAGAATACCCCGGAGAGGCTGTTGTGGACATTTCTTACGATGAGTGGTATTCATGGACGCTACTGGAAGACCACCCACTTCGCGCTCCTCCAACTCATTGTTGTCCCGGATTGTTCGAATTTATACACGGCTGCTACATGACGGCAAGGCAGAACTGGGGAGAGCGCTTGTTCAGAGGGGTTTGTTTGTTGTTGATGGTCACGTTCGTTCCCCGAGAGTACTGTCATAAACTTGGGCTGACCACGCTGTTGGAGACAGGATTGTGATACAATTATCTATACTGCCTTCTGGGCTCATACATTTGTTACCTCATGCGCAGCTCACAGAATACGGACGGAACTTTGCATTGAGTCACAGGCATACAGAATGCGCTGCATATCATTTGCAAGCCGGTCGAAATGCGATGGGAGACTCTTCTGCAGTCAGGTGCATTGGAGTCAAGGTGGATATTTGGATGCAGAATGGCAGTCTCTGGGCGAACGACTCAATGGCAGCAGTCAGCGCTTCGGAAGTGCTAAGCAGTGCATATTTCGAATCAATGCTAGAGAAGCTGAACGCCATGAATTCTCGATTGGATTCGCTTGTTCGCTCCGCTGAAGCGAGCCCTCTGGGGTTCTTCGACCAGGAAGCTGAGCGCTCTTCAGTCCTTCTCCTTGAGCTACGATCTCCTGTTGAAGCAGCGTGGCCGGATCTAACGTCACTGTTGGAAAAATTGAGGACAGGGAGGCACCTATCATACATGAACGGGACGCGACTAGTTGTGAGACCTGTCACCGTCGTGATTTCAAGCAAAAATCTATCTTACCAGGATCGAACCAACCTGACCGAGTCAGACGTCATCTTCGTTGACACCTCACTAGAATCGTTGACTAGAGCGCATCCCGCAGAAGGTGGTGAGGAAACCGGTGGCGACAACCAAGCCGCATCTCATGGTACAAAAGCCTCTCCGGCAAGGAACTCGACAACAAGGACTGTTATGGCAACTGCCGATTTCCAAGCATCTGTCGGCCTCCCCCGTCGGGGCCGATTTTCCAAAGAGCAGATTGAGTTGATTCGGGCCCAAGTGCGTGCTGCTCATCAGCATGGACTGTTGGCCCGGTATACCGGCATCCAGTGTCTTCCGCTGCAATTACGCAGGTTGATCCTGCGAGTACTAGCTCAGGAAGGGGTTGATCTTATTGAGAATGTCCAGAACGATTGCGAGCGACCGTGGTGGAACTCGTCCTTGGAGGATGGTGAAGTTAGCAGTAGAGTACCTGGATTACCAAATTAAGGTCTCCATGTAGGAGTGATTTTCTGCACAGTCCAAAAGCATATTACATGCAGAAACTCAATTCGCCCACAGTGAAAAATGGCGCCTTAGAACCTGAGGCAGATGAGGATACAACTCCTTGCTTCTTGCGAATGTATAACGCAAAAGGGCCAGTGTAACACCAACCTCTCAAAAGGAAATGTGTGCAGG